GCAGCAAGCGTCAGCACCAAGGGTGAAGCGGTTGGTAGCGGTGACAGCGCCAACGATGGTGCAAGGAAGAAAGAGTTGAAGAAGAGCAATTTTAGAGGGACTAGCAAGCAGTGTGAGCATAAGGAGAGTGGTGCAGCAGCCAAGGAGAACCAAAGGGTGAGGAGAACCGCGAGGCAGTAGTGGAGGAGTACAGAGAGAGCATGTGGGAAACTATTGTGAGTGCGGCATTCTCCAATCTGACTTCGGTACGAGGGAGTGTGATTGGGTGACCTTGCATCGGTGACTGGGGCATATGGCCCTGCCTATTTTGCAGCAACTAGTGAAGGATGAGATGGTTGCTGTGTGAAGGGGGAGTCCACCGAGGTACTTGACTGCCCGGCATGCATACAAGCCAAGTTCACCCGTTTCCCGTTCTCTAGTTCGGAGGCAACGGATAAGACACCGCTTGATGAGGTGGTGATGGACGTAGTCGTCCCCTTGAACATTGGAGCCGTTTGAGCTGAATAATTCGTCACCAAAGTTCCAGCATGACCTGGGTGTACGTGTTGTCCAAAAAAAGCGATATTTCTGAAACGTTGAAGACCGATTGGTTGCCAATGGTGGAGCGGCAACATGACTGTCTTGTGAAATTAATCCGCACCGATCGAGGGGGGGAGCTCCTAAGCAAGAAGTTCACCGATCAAGGGGGAAAGTTCCTGAGCAAGCAGTTCTCTATGTGGCTGAAGAAGAATGGCATAAGGCACTCCCTAACTATGCCATACTCCCCAGCAATAAGCGGCATCACGGAGCGAGCGATCAGGACAACCATTGAGACGACACGCGGGTTGCTCATTATAGCTGGGCTACCTGACTATTTCTGGCCTGATGCGGTGCGGAGTGCGTGTGTGGCCAAGAACAGAGCCTTGACTCATGTGGGAGCAGACAAGTGGTTGCCCTATATGGAGTGGAATGGAAGGAAGCCAAAGGTGGATATGCTTTGGGTGTTTGGTTGCATATTCATGGCGCTCGTGCCAACAAGCTGCTGCCAAGGCGATATGGGCTGTGCATTTGGGCATGGCTAAAAATAGCAAAAGATTGTTTTTTTTTTAACCCATTCACCAAGAACTTCTTGGCAAGCATGGACTGCAAAAACCTAGAGAATCTAATGTACAATAATTGGAAGGTGGAAAATGAGGCGAAGATAGACAGGAGAGGTGAAGAGTTCCGGGCTAGAGCACGTGGAACTGACCTTGGAGCTGAGATACAGCAAAGCAAGTACAAGGAAATGTCCTTTCGTGAATTGAGGAGGCCAGGAATGCAGATGAAGAGGGGGAGGAGGTGCAGCAAGCAAGCAAGCGTGCACCTACACTTCCACCTCGAGCAACCCCATAAAGCCCTCAAGACCCTACAGCCGAGGAGTAAGGAAGGGGCAAGAGGAGAATTCAGGCCCCTAGTAGGGTGACATATGATGCACTAGGAGAGCCAGCCAAATCAGCCTTGGCCGGAGCGGCTCTTATGGTTGGAGATGATGAGGAAAGTGAGTACGAGGAGTGTGTTTTCATGTTCACTCGGGTGGAAATGCCGGGGGAACCAGCAACTCTCAAGGAGGCTTTCGAGAGGAATGATGCTGAGGAGTGGAAAAAGGCAATGGAGAGTGAGCAGAAGAGCATTGAGATCAGACGAATGCCGAGGGCAACATCGAGCGCTACAAGTCTAGGCTTGTGGCCAAAGGGAAGGTGGAAGGAGAAGGTGGTGAAGCTGACAACATTGCGAACCCTACTCTTGAGGGCTACCATCAAAGGATGGATGGTGAAGCAAATGAATGTGACAACTGCCTTGTAAAAGATTCGTTCATAATGCAGCCAAAGGGGTTTGATGATGGGAGTGGCAGAGTGTGGAAGCTGAAGTAATACATTCATTGTTGCACCAACGATATGGGTAAGTAATGCATTTGCTTTTGCTACCAACTATATGGATAAGTAACGCACGTATTACTGGTTGTAACCATATAAGTAAGCATCGCGCTACCATATTGTTAAGTAGCAGGCTTTTTCTTGGTACCAAATCATCATAAAAAAACTTGGGTTTTTGAAGGGGGTTCGAAGGGGTGTACATTTCAGGTGTTTTGGTTGGCGAAGTTCCGAAACGAAATCGCGACCAATCACGGACCGAAATCGGACCGCGTTTGTTTGTTGGAGTTGAATCGCAAGTTCGGAATGTCGCACATTGTCGGTTTTTTGTGGCTTGCCAAGATAGTTATCAATTTGGATTAGATTGTTTTGGCCTTGACTTCAATTAATTTTGACAGTGCATAAATAAGCTGGAAATTTTATTACAAGATAAATGCATTACATATGATACTTATTTAGGAGATAGGTCACCAGATGGAACGCCTTTACCACATGGACGTGGCGAAGCAGCGCTTCAAGCGGAATCACGGAGTACGCATACACTCCAGTCGTCCACTTGAGGCGAGTGCATCCAGTTGCAGCATTTTCCCCGCACGCATTCCAATATCTAATGTAAGCCAGCTCCTCCCTCTCTCCACGGATTTTGGTGTGGAACAGCAGCAGCAACCTTGCGTACCACTCCTCTCTCCGACCGTACCTTACACCCTCTACTGCAACATCCGAGTACCACGGCCGCTCAAAATAGTCAGGTGTCGCCCGAACGAAGTGAGAAACCCTTGAGAAGCTGGCATCATCTGCCGCTGGGATGGCCAACGATGCATGGGCCTGCATAAAAATTGCAGTGTAATCAGTTTAGGGTTTGGGGCACGAAAAGAATGATTGTATGATCCACGAAGTACTTACTCTGATCTTGGGGACGCATCCAGCATAACGTACTAGCGCATCCTTGAGGGCAGCTTGTGCAACAGGGTGTTGCATGGCCCACTTCCTTGCAAACCAGTTGGTGGAGGTGGGTTCTTCTGGTAACTCCACAGGGAGTAAGTAGGACTCTTTGATAAGAGTCCTTGTGCCTGTCTCAATGGCCTGCCAACAAACAGTGGCTGGCGAGTTTATTACATTATGCATGCATATCCTTGCAATTCAATCACTAGACAGGTTTACCTGCCGCATGGCAGTGTCCCGGCCAAGGGGATCGTCCACCGGCACAACGCCCGGAATGCGCGTAGCATGGAACTTCATAATCTGCCCATCTATATTCCTCTTTACCAACGGGCCATGCAAGTGCTCGAACATGTTGGTGCTGAATTCCGTGACGTGTCCAGCGCGGCGAATGGAGTCGATGTAGTGCGACATGAGATGGGTTTTCACAAGGCACCAAGAGGATGGCTGCTTTGGAAAAGCAGCCTGCAACTGCTCAACCAGCCTGATGGGAGTGGGAGTTGACAGCATATGCAAGGACATGAGAGTCTACTACAGCATACTGCAGCCTACTTTGTTTGATATACTATCATTGTTTTATCAGCAACAACCTGAGAAGATAGGTTACTACAACAGCTTAAGTGTCTTGGCCAGGCATTCATGCAATGCCCAGGGTTGTACATGCATGTTAATAGTACCGGGAGGTCTTCTTCTTGAGATCCCGCAGGGACCGCTCGGTGTGCCCCGTTGGCTGGCAACACAAGAGGTACCAGCCAAGGTAGGCACGAACAGCATCCATCTGGGGCTGGCGAAGCAGGCCAGCAAATACGAACACCATGACCTGCAAATTTCAGGGTTCAGGACGGCGGATGGGCATGAGTAGTTGGGACATGCATGAGAAGATGAGCAAACAGGTTTGGAGGCGGAATTGATGAGAGAGGGAGAATGGGTACTGAGATGCAGCAGGGGGGAAGTTGTAGGCTTGAATCAGCATGCCGTTTCAACATGGTGCATGCTGTCGCTCACGAGGATCACATGCACCATGGCTTGCACACCTGCATGACGGCCCTGTGCTCATAGGCCGCGACACATGCTCCACTCTCGAAGTACGCGCTCTCTGGCAGGCGCAGGTGGTTCAGGCGCGTGCGGTCGCGGATGAGCGACAGGCGCCTGCGCATACACAACAGTTCAAGGCCGGCACAAATGCAGAGACATGTAAGTAGGAGGAGAGTGCGTATTGGAGTGTTCTTGGCATAGAGCAAGGAAACTAATACCCCAAGGCACTGACCTGTCCATCTGCTTCACGCGCCGCTTCTTCATCTTGCGCACGACAGCCACAATGTGGCTCATCATGCCCAGGTCCGCCTGGTGCATGATGTCAGGCATGATAACGAGGTAGGGATTGCCCCACACGGTCCCTGGGACATCCCATTTCCAGCGCACACACTGGCGGAGGGGGTGTGGTGGGGAATGGTAGAGAAATGTATATGAGAGACTCGGAAAACATGTCGGGCAGTGCAATGGCAGTGCACATCTCCCTCAGGGTTGAGCAACACGGAGTGCATAGACTACAAAGTAGCGCAGGGGACAGGTCGCTCACCTCAAACGGGTAGGTCGAGTAGGTCTTGCATGGGTCGGCCTGGCTTGATGTCAACCCAGCCGCCTCATTCACGATCCATTGCTGCTGTTCAGGCGTGCGCGGCGTGTTCCGTGCCTTGACAGCAACCAAATGCTCCTGGTGTAGCACGGGGGGTTGGAAGGGATGAACAGGTAAGGGAGGCAAGGTTAGGAGGTCCGTCACGTGCCATTCAGATGACGATGGTGCTGAAGGCGCGCAGCTGGCATGTTTGCTCGCCTTTGCAGCATAGCAGATGCTGCACGGCATCCGCGATCCATGCGAGAGTGTGCAACTGATCTTGCCGCTCTCGGGGTAGTCGCACACCCAGGCGTACAGCAGTGGCCGCACTGTTTGCCAATCACCGAAAGGGTCCCTGAGACGGAACCCGCTGCAAGGTATAGGTAGAGTGGTAACAGCAACAGGGATGACGACTCTGTGCATCAGCGAATAGGGACAAAGGGTAATGCAGTATACAAAAGCGCTGTTGATTCGGTGACGTTATAGCAAGACGAAAATCGAGTACGGACCTGTCCATGCCATCAAGAAGCGGCTGCAGCAACCGTGCTGGAAGAGCATCACCGGATGACGCATCGCTGGAAGAGCATCACCTTCTCGATGGCAGACATTGCAGAAGGGGGGATAGGAAGGAGAGCAAGTAGCGTGTGCCCGGCTTTCCCCCATCGCTTGGCCTGGGAGATGTTGGCAAGCGTCATCATGAGCGGCCACGCCTTCTTCCGGCCGTTGTTGCTCATGTGCGTCACATCCGAATATAGAATGATATCCCCAACGACTTCGGCCCATCCGAAGTGATCCTGCAATGCACGACAAAGAGGGAAAAAACATACGGTCAAACACCACCAAGGTTTAGTGTCGCCAGGCTGATTAAGCCTAATACAAAAAACTCCCCACGAACATGACGCACTGAAGATGCTCCCTACACATCAGCGCATCAACGGACGCATGCGCACGCGTGTGGTTTTGGGTGGCAGCGGGGTATTTGCATACCTGAGCATCGTTCCACCGCGTTCCTGTTTCTGGCGTGGTATAGCGACGCTCGCCTGTGTCAGGGTCCTCATCGACACGAGCCTTGAGCTTGAAGCCGGGTGCGTTGTTGGTGTGCCCAAACAGTTCAGCAAACGCCTGGAGTACGGCATCAAGAGCGGGAGAGAACCAAACCCTGGTTTAGTGGCGGGAGCGTTTCACGGGCCAGATTGCACACATGCCTAACAAAGGCAACATTCCCAACAAGCACCAAATGGATGCGGAATCTGCATTTCGCAGCCACGGTTCCAGAGTCGGCTTACCTGCGCGGAGTTCTGGAAGAGGAGGCGCTGTGGCGGATGACCCTCAATCTCGAAGGTCGCCACTGACCATCCGCGATTGAGCCCTACCAAGCGCTCCATCTCGAACCGCTCCAGATCCTTGCAGTTCCGGATCTCTGAGATCACAAGAGGCGCAAGGCCGGGCTCCACCACGAGCTGAAGCAGGCCATTGATGTCGATCTCCGCCATGCCCATTCCGCCATTTACGCGCCTCACGAAATGCAGCAGCTTCAACGCAATCGGATTGAGGGGCGTCGCATTGCTCTCCCCGGAGACGATTGTCGGCGGTGCCGCGTGACTCACTCCAGGGCGGCACCCCTGATGCTCACTCGTGTTCCTGGTAGCGGTTGATGCTCAGATTCAGGAGCCCCCACGTTCACAGCCGAGGGTGTTGCGTCCTCGTCAGCTTCAGGTACGCGAGGAGGACCATTCACACCGTCGGTGTTGGACGCGTTAGACGCGGTAGGGGAAGCGGGAGCAGCGGGAGCGTCCGACAGAATGTCGTGTGCGAATAGCAGTGCGTGTAGACCGGCTGACGGTGCAGATCGCGAGGGCCTTGCCACGGCGAACAGGCCTTGACAAGGAGTCCGCCGTGGCTAGTGACTGCCGTGACTTGTGACTTGACAAGGAGGGCGTTGGAGAACCATCTGTTGCAGAACTCGCAGATGACGCCAGGCAAAGAGCCCATGCGTTACGGATCTGTCTAAGTGTTGAGAAATGGCCTGTGAAGCAACTAGCGTCGTGGGAAGCTTGAGAAGGCATTAAGTACACCGTGGATAAAGGCTGTTAATGCAACAGGGTCATCGCCAAACCGTGCACTGTCCAAGGCGGATTGTATCACGGCACGACTGGCACTTGAGCGGGCCGCTTAACGATGTTTGGGACTGGCCAACGATGTTCGAGCCGCGCGGTCATGACAATGCACGATACAGACCGCTCACAGCACGGATCGTCTTCCCTACAAGGCGTGTCGCCCCCGTTTAGACAGACCACGTCGTGAGCAGATGAGAACGCGCTTGATCGTAAGACGGTGGGTCGTGTGTGTGCGTTGCGAGCATGGTGAGAACGACGTGCCTGTGGATTCACGCACCCTTAGTGCGTGAGTGTCGAGTGGGATAAGGAAGAGCGGGAAGAGATCCGTTTGGATCTGTGATTCAGTCGCGTATCGTTATAGGGGGGAAATCGCGCACACGTTAGTGAGCGCATAGTGGTGCGCTTGACTATAGCCCAAATACAAGTATATTATATTGAAGAATTGCATTTTATCTATACACTAAAGTCTTTGTTGATATCTAGGACAGTCATATGAAAGGGCCTGCTATAGATCCACCCCTAGTTGACAACGTGACAGTCTAAAAACCATCCAAGATCTCTAGTGTGGCCTGGCAACCTACGGGAAGTACACAAGAACTCCGTGCCCTCACGATAACGCATCGCCGCTTGTGCGTTGGGCCTCTCATTCATACCCCTTAGAGGCACCTACTTGAACGTCCGTGCAAGGTTATATGACAATCCAACACCGTACCACAACGGACTCACCTTGTTGCGCAACACCCAAGGCCTGAACGCTGCAGCGACGCCCTGTTTTGACGCTGCGGTCGATAACGCATCATCGCTCGTGCGTTGGACCTGTGCTTCATAACACACCCTCAATGCACCGTGTCGAGGGCCCATGCAAGAATTGAGCCCAAGTCAACACCATTCCACAACGGATTCACCGTGTCGCGCAAGCCTTGGATGGCTGCGAACGCTGCAACGTCGCCGCATTAGAACCGCGATGTCGTCAACGAGTTATCGCTCGTGCGTTGGACCTCTGCTTCATACCACACCCTCAATGCACCATGTCGAGGGCCCATGCAAGAATTGAGCCCAAGCCAACACCATTCCACAACGGATTTACCGTGTCGCGCAAGCCTTGGATGACTGCGAACGCTGCAACGTCGCCGCGTTGGAACTGCGATGTCGATAACGCGTCATCGCTCATGTGATGGACCTCTGCTTCATACCACACCCTCAATGCACCATGTCGAGGGCCCACGCAAGGATAGAGCCCAAGCCAACACCATTCCATAACGGATTCACCATCTCGCGCAAGCCTTGGATGACTGCGAACGCTGCAACGTCGCCGCGTTGGAACCGCGATGTCGTCAACGTGTCATCGCTCGTTCGTTGGACCTCTGCTTCATACCACACCCTCAATGCACCATGTCGAGGGCCCACGCAAGGATAGAGCCCAAGCCAACACCATTCCACAACGGACTCACCGTGTCGCGCAGGCTTTGGATGACTGCGAACGCTGCAACGTCGCTGCGTTGGAACCGCGATGTCGTCAACGTGTCGTCGCTCGTGGACCTCTGCTTCATACCACACCCTCAATGCACCATGTCGAGGGCCCACACAAGAATTGAGCCCAAGCCAACACCACACCACATCTCCATTCCAGTTGGCACTAGTACACGTCGTGCCTGAACAAGTTCCAACGACCAGTATCCGTCGCCAACGCTGAATGTGTGCTTAGTATAGCATTCCATAGTCTCTGAGTTGGAAGCTCAAAGAGTGTGTCCTAAGCCAAATGCACTCACTAAACATTACACAATATGACACCATAAGCGGCCATTCAGTTCAACTTGTCTTTGTTGTACTTTGCAAGTGTATTTTGCTCCAATGTGAAACTTTGATCAATGCACAAAGGCACTGTATTTTGCAGGATGTGATGATTGGTGGTGTCGAAACGGTACTAGATTCTGGGGAGATCGATGTGTTGGCGATGATTGGCCGACGCATCTCAAACGACCCCCCTCCCCACGACCGCACCAGCCAAGCTGGACATGCGGAAGCAGCGACTGTGATCAAGCATTTAGTGGGTTTTTGATCGGGTGGCTAATCGTAGACCGTCCGATTGTGCCTGGTCTGCTTACAGTCCTCTCTCTAGACTCGCAAACCACCCCAACCACCGTCGAGCCTCACTCACCAGCTTCCGTCACCCTCATATCCACTACTTTGACGCCGCTTGCTGGTGAACACAGGCATTTCCAGATCGCCAGTGAGTCAGAGTAGCGACGAAGCAAAGGGCTGACGCCATGTGCTTAGTAGCTACTAATTCAGTTGTAATTGTACCTGAGGTTTAGGGTGAGATAGCATTGGTCTTACCGGGACGGGGTCAATTAGTAACAATCCTTTCCGGTTATTTTCTAAAGCCGGCTACACTCCCGCAAGTTATAACTTGCATTCAGAAAACCCTCATGACACGTGCAACTCGGCAAACAGAAAAGGAGAAGGAGCAGGCAAAACGACGCACGACACGGAGGATGTCGCTTCAGACCGACCAAGAGGGTGGGGCCAGATCTAGGGCTACTAAAGCGACCGACACGCAAACCAATCAAAGGAAACGTGTGGCGGGAAAAAAGGCCGAGGTGGGAAAGAAGAAGTCCGGGAAGAAGGCAGAGGACAAGGGGAAGCAACCAACGGCACGCAAGCGTGTTTCGGCCGTGAAGAGCGATGCGGGTGTTGCCACTGCTGCCCTCGAGCCCGGTCCTTCTGACGACGGCACCATCGGCGGGAACGAAGACCCTGGGCGTGGCGGCGTGAGTGTTGCCGTCCGGCCGGGGGACAGAGAGGGCTTGGCGACTGGAGGAAAGCACGGCGACTCTCCCCGCAACGACCAGGCCGCAACTGTGGTGTCCGTGGCAGAGGCATCACAGCAGCATATGACGCTGCTCCCCCCGCACGTGGTCGAAGTATCTGCTGCAGTGATAGAAAAGGACAAGGATGCTGCGCACGATTGCACGGAGGAGCCGAAACACGACATTGCCGACGTCGGTGGATCTCCTCCCTCTGGGGGACGCGGGAGGCGTAGGCAGAGGAAGAGCGATGGGGAGGAGGAGTATGACACCCCCGTGGCCGAGGACATCCCCATACGCGCAAAGAGGAGGCAGACGACAGCCAGCGGTGACGACGCCGGTGGTGCTGAAGTTGGGACAACGCGAGGCACCACGGAGCCAAGTGGCTTGGCGACAGATCATGCATTGCGGCATAAGGGTAAACCCGGTCCGAGGAAACCATCGTGCGGACGGAGGGGCAAGCAAGCTTCGAGGGGAAAGAGGCCGAAGCGCGGCAAAGAAGGCCCTGGTGAAGCGGATGAGGAGGACGAGGGGGATGGGGAGGAGGAGGCTGAGGAGGATGCGGAGGAGGAGGACGAGGATGCAGGGGAGGAAGAAAAGGACGAGGATGAGCAGGACGACGATGATGATGATGAGGAGGAGGAGGAGGAGGAGGAGGAGGAGGAGGAGGAGGAGGAGGAGGAGGAGGAGGAGGAGGAGGATGATGGCGACGAGGAGGAGGAGGAGGACGACGAGGAGGAGGATGAGGACGAGGAGGAGGACGAGGAGGGGGACGATGATGATGAGGAGGAAAAGAATGAGGAGGAGGAGGATGAGGAGGAGGAGGAGGAGGAGGAGGAGGAGGAGGAGGAGGAGGAGGAGGATGAGGAGGAGGAGGAGGAGGAGGACGACGTGGAGGAAGAGGAGGTGGAGGAAGGGGCGGATGAGGAAGAGGAGGAGGATGTGCCGGCAAGGAAAGGACGGGGCGCGCGAGGCAGACGGGAAAGTGGCACAGGGAAGGTGGGGGGCCGGTCTGGTCAATCCCGGAAACGCGGGGCGGTTGACGCAATGTGTGGCGAACCAGCGGGCAAATCGAAGGCGCGTAAAGTGAAGGTCGAAACTGACCGGGGTGGAAGGAAGCAAGGGAGACAGGGAGCTAAAGGCGATGGAGAAGGAAAGGGAGGGCGCGCGAAAGGGGTTCCTGTGGGTTCGGCAAAGAAAGAACCTGCCCGTAAACGAGGCAGCACCCGCCGAAGCACACCGCGGAAAGGGGGCAACGATAAGGAGCAGGCAGCAAAACCGAAGGGACAGCAACGAGGTACGCAAGCAACGTGTCACAAACGCATGGCATAGCTGCCGTGGTTTGTGATGAACAGACCCTAACAACACCGTGTTCCACCCTTGTTTCCCCGCCGCAGGGAAGGAGAAGGTTGACGAATCGGCTAAACCGGGTAAGGCGTGGCTGTACACTACAGTTCCCAGCTACACCCATGTTAGAATCAAGCGGTTGGTCGTTTGCGTGCATGTGTCCAAATGTACATTACAGACACCAGCTCCGTGCTCATGCTCTGTTTGACTCTCAGCCCCCCGTGTTACAGGCATTGGGCCACCGGTAAGCGTGCAACGGATGCAGCTAACGAAAGGGGCCGGAAGAGCGAGTGTGGCACCGCTATCCACAGGAGCACCAAGGTTCTTCACGCCATACTCCGGCCCGAGCAAAGTCGCTGCGACTGCACCCGGCGCGGCTACAGGAGAGGAATCCGAATCCCCTCCACCAGCCCCCGTCACGCACTCCCCACTCGCCTCTCCCTCTTACCCATTTCGGCCACTACACGCTTCTCCATTCCGGGGCAGGGCGGTCTCCCCCCTCGCTGGTCCATCGCGCGGGCATCAACCAAGCACTTCTGCCAATCCCTTCCCTGAGCTTCCCTTTTCCCGCCAGCGTGATAGTGTGAGGGCACACGGGACTGCTGTTGGAGACGTTGATCCCTTTGGCCAGAGAGGGGTTTCTTCACACCCTTTTCCGGATGTCATGGATGCGCTGGGCGAAGGTGCAGAGCATGGGCAGTTTGTTACACGAGACGAGTTCCAGCAGCTACGGTCTGAGATGTACGCCATGTTTGCTCAGCTCGGCCTGCGTCGTGGAGCAACTGCCAGCTATGCCGGGGGGACTGCAGTGGTGCCTATGGCTGGTACCCCGCCGCCGATGAGTGCCGTGGACAGGGCACGTGTGCTTGTGCTGCAGGAGACAAACCCATTCCCGGTATGTGGCGGGTTGGGGTTGACGTGGCAACCAGGGAAGGGTTGGGGATGACGTGGCGGTTGGAAAGGGTGCGCGGGAGCGGTGCAGGACGACACGCGGCTCCACAGGTGGGTGGGGGCTGACGTGGCTCTTTCGGATCTGAGTGTGACGTGGCCAGTGGGCTGGGTTGTTGGTGTACGCGGCGGACGCAAGGGCGTGTGACGTGGCAAAAAAGGTGAGGGTTTAGATATGACGTGGTGGTATTGAACGGATGCAAGGGAGCGGCGCATGACGGGGCGAGGAGTTTCAGGTGGGTGGGGGTTAACGTGGCATGGGTTGGGTGGGTGTGACGTGTCACGTGGGGAGGATCGTTGGTGGATTTGGCGGATGCCAGAGGGTGTGACGTGGGCGGATGTGAGGGTTGGGGCTGACGTGGCGGTTTGGACGGGTACAGGGGAGCGGCGCGGGACGATGCGACACGTGTCAGGTGGCATGGGGTGGGTGGGTGTGACGTGGCACGTGGGGCTGGTTGTTCCCTGACGTGGCGGATGCAGGAGGGTGTGACGTGGCGGGATGTGTGGGTTGGGGCTGATGTGGCGGCTTGGAAGGTTACACGGGAGCGGCGCGGGACGAGGCGACACGTGTCAGGTGGGTGGAAGATGACGTGGCATGGGGTGGGTGGGTGTGACGTGGCACATGGGGCTGGTTGTTCCCTGACGTGGCGGATGCAGGAGGTTGTGCCGTGGCGGGATGTGTGGGTTGGGGCTGATGTGGCGGCTTGGAAGGTTACACGGGAGCGGCGCGGGACGAGGCGACACGTGTCAGGTGGGTGGGGGATGACGTGGCATGGGGTGGGTGGGTGTGACGTGGCACGTGGGGCTGGTTGTTCCATGACGTGGCGGATGCAGGAGGGTGTGACGTGGGCGGATGTGAGGGTTCGGGCTGACGTGGCGGTTTGGACGGGTACAGGGGAGCAGCGCGGGACGACGCGACACGTGTCATGTAGGTGGGGGTTGACGTGGCATGGGGTGGGTGGGTGTGACGTGGCACGTGGGGCTGGTTGTTCCCTGACGTGGCGGATGCAGGAGGGTGTGACGTGGCGGGATGTGTGGCTTAGGGCTGACGTGGCAGCTTGGAAGGTTACACGGGAGCGGCGCGGGACGAGGCGACACGTGTCAGGTGGGTGGAGTATGACGTGGCATGGGGTGGGTGGGTGTGACGTGGCACGTGGGGCTGGTTGTTCCCTGACGTGGCGGATGCAGGAGGGTGTGACGTGGCGGGATGTGTAGCTTGGGGCTGACGTGGCGGCTTGGAAGGTTACACGGGAGCGGCGCGTGACGACGCTACACGTGTCAGGTGGGTAGGGGGTGACGTGGCATGGGGTGGGTGGGTGTGACGTGGCACGTGGGGCTGGTTGTTCCCTGACGTGGCGGATGCAGGAGGGTGTGACGTGGCGGGATGTGAGGCTTGGGGCTGACGTGGCGGCTTGGAAGGTTACACGGGAGCGGCGCGTGACGACGCTACACGTGTCAGGTGGGTAGAGGGTGACGTGGCATGGGGTGGGTGGGTGTGACGTGGCACGTGGGGCTGGTTGTTCCATGACGTGGCGGATGCAGGAGGGTGTGACGTGGCGGGATGTGAGGCTTGGGGCTGACGTGGCGGCTTGGAAGGTTACACGGGAGCGGCGCGTGACGACGCTACACGTGTCTGGTGGGTGGGGGGTGACGTGGCATGGGGTGGGTGGGTGTGACGTGGCACGTGGGGCTGGTTGTTCCCTGACGTGGCACGTGCTGGAGGGTGTGACGTGGCGGTAAGTGATTCTTGGGGCTGACGTGGCGGCTTGGAAGGTTTCACGGGAGCGGCACGTGACCAGGTGACGCGTGTCAGGCCCCTAGGGGGTGACGTGGCATGGGATGGGTGGATGTGACGTGGCAAGTGGGGCTGGTTGCTGGTGGACGTGGCGGATAGTGGAGGGTGTGACGTGGAAAGTTCCCACAGTCCATCCTGTGGTCACGCGGCCACAGTCATAACTGACGGTTTCTCTCTCCCTGTGTCGTGTTGTAAACCCCATGCGTAGAACAAAGCCTACTTAGTGTGCTCTCAGCTCCTGTTTCTGAACCCCCCGGAGAAAATTCAGTATTACCCTGCACCGGAGGAAGTGTTCGAGGCCTTCGCTGTCCACTTGTGTGCCGAAGGGCTAGAGTCAATGAAGCTGCTGTGGTTGCACAACGACAAGTCAACCATGGGTGTCTTCAACCACCAGATGTCATCAACCAGGTCAACAATCAACAGCACCTTCAGGCCAGCAACGTACGACGGCATGGGTCTCTCCGATTACGCCAATGCGGTGGATTGCCTGCCCACTGAGCTACACCCAAAGAAGTGGTTCAACGACAAGCAAATCCTGGCCGAGTACAGAGATGGTATGTGCGTCTCAAACACACCATATCCCCCTGCCCATAAGAAATAACCGTGCCGTGGTACTCTGACCCTGTCTCTCACCCCCCCACATGATCTATTTGCACCCCCTTTCCAACCCATACGCTCCCTCCCAAAATGCAGAACAGTGGGCCCTCAACTGGCACTTTGACAAGGCCACCGGAACACCCTTCAGCAACCCCTTGTCAAGAGGAGCGGGGTCGTGTTCACCAAGTTCAAGAGCCGCATGGTGGCATGGGGCCTGTTTTCGGTAAGGATGTAGATATGTGTCTCTACACCTATGCCTCATCCCCTAAACCCCTTGCATGCACTTCATCTAAATCCCTGGTCGCTTAGGCGTTTGCGGTTACGTAGGGTGTGTCGTCTTCACCTGGTTCAGCTGGAGCATATACCCGTAACCCCCCCTCATACACCATCCACCCAACCCTACACCACATTGCAGATCGAGTGGCCCCTTCTGCAGGACAAGCGCCGCAAGCGAATTCCGGCCCAGCCGGAACAAAACAGGCCGGACTACTTCGAATGGTGTGACAAGGTCAAACAGATGATACACTTTGCCGTCGTGGAGCGACGCATCCCACACGATCCGGCTCAGGGTGCGTTCGTCTTCCCGAACAAGTTCCTCATCGACGATGGCGACCTTGGAGATGTTGTTCTTGCCCACCGGGCGCTTGCAGGGCCCACCATTGAGTAGGCTATTTCACTAGGTGTTAAAACTGCTTGTTGTTACAATGCTGAATAATGGTTGCTGTAAACCGGAATATTGAATGTAATTCTGAAATCCTCAATTCCAAAAATAAAACAAAAACAAAATCCATATTTAAATGATCTGGTCACGAAATTGCACCAAAACGGATTGCGCGCAAATGTCATCCGGAAAAGCACGCGTGCCAATTTGGAACTTGACCCGAGCCAAGCCTTGTCGCGAGATGTGTGTCGGAGCTCCTATCAAATGACTCCAACCGTCGGTCGAAATTGGGTCCGGATTTTTTTACGCGAAGACAATCGCAATCAAAATTCGTCCAAACTTGGCATAGGGTTTTTGTGATGATATATATTTAAATAATGCACTTACTTTTGGTACCAACTATATGAGTAAACAACTCACTTACTCTCGTTCCCAGCCGTATGGGTAAGTTACGCGCTTAGTCTTGGTACAAATCATATGAGTAAATAAAATGCTTATTTTAGGTACCAACCACGCAGGTAAATAACGTGCTTACGCATGGTACCAACCATATGGGAAAAAAAAAAAAAACCGCTTACTCTTGGTACCAATTATATGGGTATATAACGCGTGTATTCTAGGTACCAACCATATGTTAAAGTAACGTGCTCTTGGTACCAACCACCTTGATTACTAACGCTCTTACTCTTGTTACCGACCATATGGATCAGTAACGCGCTTCGTGTTGGTAAACCATATGGGTAAACAATCGTATGGGTAAATATTCTTGGTGCCAACCATATGGGTAAACAATGTACTTGGTGTTGGTACCACACATATGGGTATGTAACGCGCTTCGTCTTGGTACCTAGAAGATGACTAGGTAACACGGTTGATCTTCCTATCAACCGTATTGGCAAAAAATGTGCTTATGCTTCGTACTAACCATTTGGGTAATCAACGCTCTTATAATTTGTACCAATTATATGAGTAAGTAACGCACTTATTTTTTGTACAAACCATATGGGTAAGTTAGGCGCTTAGTCTTGGTACCAACCATATGGGTAAATAATGCACTTACTCTTGGTACCAACCATATGGGCAAGTAACGCTCTTGGTCTTGGTACTGGCCGTATGGGTAAATGACTCACTTAGTACCAACCGCATGGGCAAGTAATGCACATATTCTTGGTACCAACCATATGGGTAAGTAACGCGAGTACTATTCTTACCAACCATATCGGTAAATAATGCACTAACTCTTGGTACCCACCATATGGGTAAGTAACGCCGTTGGGTACCAACCATATGGGTAAGTAACGCCCTTGGTACCCACCATATGGGTAAATAACGCCCTTACTGCGGAGATAACTCAATCAACAGGAGCTACACTACGACCTAGGCACGGGTGTGAGGGTGATCTCTACGTTCATTCCTTAGTCGTTTCCTTGTGCAGACACTGCTTGCTAGTTTACGGGAAAATTAGCTAGAGGTTTACTAGCAGAAGTTGACAACAAGAATCACAACAGCATATTGGCAAGACAGACTACATCAGAGCTAGCAGGCCGGTCGACTGCCAACGCAGCATGGCCGACCACGTTCCAGCACGCCTTGGTCGACCGCGCTCTAGCAATGCAATGACGCGGCCTGCCAACTTTGCAAGTCGACGGCGTGCCAACGTCGCAACTCGATGGCGCGCAAACGATGCACCCACAAGACAGCAGCGCACCTGTTTCGCAGGTGCTCGCGGATGATTGGTCCGTTGTGTCTTGTCGTCTACACGGTGCACAAACCAAATCGTCCTCGTGCCGATATCTGCACCTGCTCGTGCCTACGAGGCCGACCTCGCCAGGTCGACCACTTGAACTCGGCGCCCTCCGAAGTCGGTGCTCTTGCAGTGGCCCTCGTGCAGGTCGACCAGCCCCATCGACCAGCTCCCCCACTGCTGCAGGTCGGCTGCACCTCC